GTTGAGGCGATTTTCCTAAAGTTTGAACTGCGAGAACTGAAGTTCGAAAAAAATGGATGCACTTTTATTTTGTGACTTTTTGCAATACTTTGCAAACGCTTACATTATTGTAACAAAAGCTCTAAAAATTTTACTTACATTTTTATAATTTATATATACATGTTAGCATATATATTACTATCTTTTAAGTTTGCTAAGTTTGAGAAAACTTTGATCCACTTATATGGAAGGACATAAACCGAAGCTAAAACTAAGACCCTCTTTTTGTGAATAGCATGACTAGGTTAAGAAAAAGATCTCACGGTGAATCCTTTTTCCCAGCGACTTTTCTCCAAATCTGATTTCCTGTGGCGGGCGAGAAAAAATTTAAAGGGGAAAAAGGCAGGTGGGAGTATCGATGTGAGTCCGGAACCCAAATAATGTCTAATTAGGCTCAAGCGACAAATTATGGCGAAAAAAAGGGGAGCAAAAATAGGTATAACACATTAATGAAATGCACTATGTCCCTTTTTCTTAACGGCCGCCGTTACCGTCCATCTCCCTCTTTTTTTTTTTGAAATACACATGGCACAAGAAAAATAGATAAATGGAAGTTAATGTATAAAAAGAGGCGGTGCAATGGTTAAAGGCTTGATGAAGCGCTGGTTTTGGCTTTGAGGTCCAAGGTTCGATACATGACACCAACGAAATTTTGTGTTTCTATTTCTTTTTCATTTTTCATTTCTTTTCATTATTTGGTTTAAATATTTAGATATAAATATTTTAATATTTATAATTACTTTTCAATATATTTAAATTAATTTAATATTTATTAGAAAATTATAATTTTTGAAATCATTCAAAGCAAAAAAAATGAGAAACCTTATATTATTTCGTTAATTTAATAGTTGTTATTTTGTATTATATGCAAAACAAAATTATTATTTTTCTCTTTTTATTTTCAAATTAGAATTATGATTTTTATTTTATAGTTAAAATTTTTATAAGAGAAATTTAATTAATATATACAGTTTAATCTATTGTTTGGAATTATTTTATTTTTTAATATTTTTATTTTTATTTTTAATTATTAAAATTTTAGTTATATTACACTATATGAATTTTATTAATCAAAATTCTAATTACATTTTCTATATATTTTTCCTGAAATGTATTTTTTACTTCTCCTTTTATTCCTTGGCTATTGTAATTGTATTATCCATTAAAAAGTTTTAAATAAGAATATGGTTCTTCTTATTATTAAACATAAACTGATTATAATTATTTAATTTTTAAAATTATAATCAATTTAGGATTATTATTAGCTAAGTAATGGAATATATTTTTTATATTCTTAATAGGAAAACTAATTAAATGGTTGCTCATAGACTAAATTTTTCTTAATAAGAGTTTTCCTAAACTAAACTGGTTATAACCATTTAATATATGAACAACCATTTAATTAATTTTTCTAAACTAAATTTTCATAAACTAAATTGTATTATAACCATTTAGTTATGAACAATCCTTTAATTAATTGTCCTGATAAGAATATGAAAATCATAATCCATTACTTAGCTAATAATAATTCTTGGATTATAATTTTAAATACTAAATGGTTACAATTATTTTATATTTAATAATAATAAAATTATAAGATTTATAATTAGAATTTTGATTAATAAAATTCATATAGTGTAAATATAACTAAAATTTTAATAATTAAATTTAAAAAGTAAAATATTAAAAAATAAAAACAATTCAAGCAATAGATTAAAAGTGTATATTATTCTCTTATGAAAATTTTAACTATAAAATAGAACTCATAACTCTAATTTGAAAATAAAAAGATAAAAAAATAATTTCGTTTTGAATATAATACAAAATAACAACTATTACAAATATCAATAGATTTTTTTAATGAAATAATTAATGGCTTCTCTCTCTCTCTCTTTTTTTTTTTTTACTTTGAATGAATTCAAAAATCATAATTTTTTAATAAATATTAAATTATTTTAATTTGATTGAAAAGTAATTATAAATATAAAAGTATTTATATCTAAATACTTAATCCAAATAATAATGGAAAGAAAAAGAAAAATGAAAAAGAAATAGAAAATCAAAATTTTGTTGGTGGCCTGTATCGAACCTTGGACATTAAGGCCAAAACTAACTTTAAATCTAGCCTTTAACCATTGCACCACCCAACATTTTACTTTTTTTTATACATTAAATTCCTTTTATTTGCTTTTCCTGTGTCATGTGTATTTCAAAAAGAAAGAAAGAGGGAGTGGACGTTAACGCCGTTGGGTAAAACAATGGGCATAACACATTTAATTAATGTGTTATACCTGTTTTTGTTTCTCATTTTTTTTCACCATACTTTGATCGCTTGAGTCTAATTATACACTATTTGGGTTCCGAACTCTATCGATGTTCAGTCTAAAGTAGGCCAGATCAATTTTGAGGTCATCTTGCTCATCCTCCGATCGGACCACTTTCCAGCTCTAAGTAGTGGTATTGGTATTGGTATTGGTATTGGTGCGTCTCATTAGTCATTACGACTAATCCCCTTCCTGAAAAGAGACGTCCCTATAGCAAAATAAACCAACTTCTCATTTGAGAGAGTAAATAGAGCATGAAAAAAAGTATTGTCATTATGTGCTATTATTTTAATTCAAAAATTAATTATGCCCATTTTGGCATCGGAAAGAGTATATTAGCCAAATAGAGTATATTAGTCCACAACTTTAGCTTTAAATTAGGTTGGGCCAGAATAGACTGAAACTGAGGAAGCAAGACATAACAGGTGTTTGGACATTAAAAGTGTACTATTTGAACAAAAAAAAAATAGCATTTGAAGTTAAGTTGAAAGATGATATTTGAAATTTGAAATTATGTTTAGACATACATTTTAAATGTTGCAGTTTTGTGAGCGGGGAAACAGAAATTTCTAAAAATTTTCAAAATCATTTTTTGGTTTTTGAAAAACTCATTTTTAAATTTTTTTCAAAAACTTATAAAATTTCATGAACAAATATGTTTTTGAAAAAAAATATCTATGGACAAACGGGTCCATAAAGATAAAGAATTTAGTGTGTTGAAAAAGACTATCTTCCTCCTATCAAATAAAGAAAAGAAATAAATGGAGATGAGAAAAGAGCATAAGTTCAGAAAAGTATCTGTTTCTTAGCCGTTAGCTTTTAGCTTCTGTTTGTGTCCTTCCGTTAAATGGACTAAATCTGCTCAACTTTTACAAATATGAAGGAAGATATGTGCTCACATGTATATTTAAAGAATAAAAATGAACTTAGCCCAAACATAAAGGATAATTTTGGTTAAAAACTCATACTTTTGGATAGTCTGCTTCGGCACATATAAAGCCACATGTTCTACTTGCGGTGCCGTCATATAAAATTGCCACGTAAATCTCTATCAGTCTCTCTGTAACGAACTTTAAATACGCATAGCAGTAGCATCAGTACAAAAAAAAAAAAAAAACCACAGAATTCTCAATTCAACACACAGCTCTTCGCAATTTACTCGAAAGGTGAACGGATCATGTCACGTTTAATCCAAGCTCGATTTTCTCTCTCCAGATTCTCGTAAGCCATTTTTAGCCCTAATTTTACATTTCATCTGTTTGAGTTGTTCGAATGTGAAGCTTATTTCGTGCAGGATTACACAATTAAGAAGCTGGAATTCGCGTCTGTTTTGTTTTAATTGTTTTTTTTTTAATTTTTTGTTTTGTATTGTTGATTGTTTCTGTGTTTTGTGAAAATGTGTGGATTTGTTTTGTGCTGTTATTAATTAATGTGTTTGAGCTTATGGAGAATGGTGAGATAATAATGTTTATGTTGCCTTTTGTATTTTGTTTTTGAATTAGAATAATTTGGAGGTGAGTCTTTGTTTGGGCTAACTTCTGTTTTGTGTTGTTCATCAAGGAAAGAACAATAGTACTCCCTCTATTCCAACTTATTTGATGCACTTACTTTTTTAGTTTGTCAAAAAATGTTAACTTTCTATATTTAGAAACAAGTTAAAATTTTTCATAAATGATTTATGGCCACACAAATGAATGACTTATTTTAGACCCAGGCAAACAACATCACATGGAGGGAGTAAGTATTGGTTTTAATGGTTTTCTTTGTTCAACTGTTGATAATTTCTTGCAAAATCACATCATTAGTATTTCTGCTACAGAATGAAAAATCGGCTGTAGTACATCATAAGGACTTAGAATTTTCAAATATAATGTGTCTAGTGACTGATCCAAGTTTAGTTGAGTTAAGGAGCGTTTTGCCTGAAAACAGGTTTTAAATCTCAAATTATAAGGGCAAAGACGGAAGACAGATTACTGATAAGAAAAAATCAAGCAAATTGGATAAAACATTCTATCGCCCGAGCATTTAGTAGATTCCATATAGAGTCTCTTATTGGTTCTTAAATGCACTAGTTTTGGAATTTAAAAGAAAAAGAAAATTCAATCATGCATTGTATGCGTAGCTGGAGAGATATTTTTGCTGCAAGATACCACAATACTGTTCATCTCAAAGAAAAGATACCACAATACTATTTACAATAAAAAGATGCCTCAATATTAAAGGTGTAGTCGAAATATGTCACGTGTTATTGAGCATTCAATTTATTTCCTGATAAATAAGCCTAAAACATCGCAAGCAGGTTATTCTGTTGCATATGACTAGAATGATCATGGGATTTTCAATCATGAAAGGAATAAGGTCATAGAATTCTAAGGTATCTCTATACCTCCATATTAGTCCTTGAGCTTCCTTTTAGATATTTTTGCTGGTCATGATATTATTTTTGTTTAGATACCTGTAGATTACCTATACACCTCTAGGACTGTTCATTTGGTGAACTGACTTCTTTTCTCATTTTGCTTTACTGCGTAACTCTGCTGGGAAACCGTTAATTCTTTTGTTGTAAAATTGAGGTATAGTTTCAGTCATTCGGAGACAATATGTTCTAGTTTGGCTGATTTACAACTTTTTAAACAGGAGTGTTGCATCATCCAGAAATGTTCGGCTTTTGTCAACTGAATCCTATAAAACAGATGAGCCCTTTAAAGTTGAGGAAACAACTGAGTCCAATGAAAGAGATGACTCCTCTAAAGTTGAGGAAGCAGAAACAGTAAATATGCCTCCACCCCCAACGGAGAAGGTGTTAAACAGTTTAAAGTTTTAGCAGGACTATATCACTGTCATATGTTGCTGCTTGCTCTCACTCATTTGAAGTGACTCTTTAAACTTTCACTTCAGTTACTTGTGCTCGGTGGAAATGGATTTGTCGGCTCACATGTCTGCAAGGAAGCTCTGGATCGTGGTCTTACAGTTGCTAGTCTTAGCAGGTATTTGGCTTCACTTTCACGATAAGTTTGTTATATATATCTGCTATACTAGAGCATGAGTATTTCTTTAGGATCTTTCTTGTTGTGCACTTCTAGGTCTCGCAGGAGTTTGTCCTTTTTTGGTGAGAATAAATCGAAAATGTAATTTGAGTATAAATCAAAAGTGTAGCTTGACAAACTATTAATGAGGCTGTTTATTTGAATTTTATATTGTGTTCTCCATGGGCTCTTACTATTCTCCTTGAGGTAGTCATTGAACACACATGACGTATATGCTCCCCCGTTGTCCGTACGGAGATATCTGATTTTCCTTCACAATATCGATCTCCACAGTATGATGTAACTCTTTAAACTTCTCAATTACCTCAGAATTCTCCTTTAAGAAGTAAATCCGCACGTACCTTGAGAAGTCATCGATGAATGTTACCATGTATTAGTACCCACTGAGGGAAGGCTGCTTGACTGGACCAAACACGTCTGAGTGTACTAGTTCCGGTGGCTCTATGGCTTGATACTTTGATTCTTGATAGGGTAATTGATGTGCTTTCCCATATTGACATCCACCACACAGTGTTTCCTCTAATCTCAAGTTAGAGAAGACCTTTTAATTTTGACTGTTGCATCATGATTGTCAGTTTGCTGTAACTCACATGGCCAAGGCGTACACGCCATAGATCAGTTGTTTCGTTACTCTGAGCCTTGTCCACATCAGCTGTTTCGGCTGACATGACATATATCGACTCTAATCTTCTTTCCTCCATGATTGACAAGCTTGTAATTTTCAAGCTCCCGTATACTTTTACGTCATTCTGCCCAAACACTGCATAATTGCCAGTAGATGTTAGTTGTGATACAAACAATAAGTTCTTCTTCATACTTGAAACATGGTAGGAATTCTGAAGTTGCACTTGTCTGGAGCTGTGACGAGGCACAAATACTGTCTTGCCAATATGAGTTATTGGCCATTTTCAATTAATTACAGCCACCACTACTCTACCGCCTCTATATTCGTTAATGTTGATGAGCTTCTTCTCATCACCAGTCATGTGATTGGAGGATGCCGAATCACCAATCCAATCATGTTCATAGTCGACTAATTTCTCACTTATAGTTGCAAGTGCATGTTCGTTTTCTGGTTCGTCAGAGCGAGAGATGGAGTGCTCTTCCTTTCCACTGTTTTCTTCAACTGCATAAGAGATCTCTGTGAGAAAGCACGGGAGAAAGTATTATTGATTGTTATTCTAGGTTACAATGATATAAAACACATAATCTACTCCTATTACATACGGGACTAGGACTAATTGCATATATTCACACAACTATTCTAACACTCCCCTTCAAGCTAGTGCATATAAATCATATGTACAGAGCTTGTTACATATGTAGCTAATACGAGGATCAGTGAGGGACTTGGTGAAAATATCTGCAAGTTGATCATTCGACTTCACAAACTTCGTAGCAATATCTCCCGAGAGTATCTTTTCTCTGACAAAGTGACAGTCAATCTCAATGTGTTTAGTTCTCTCATGGAACACTGGATTTGATGCAATATGAGTAGCAACTTGATTATCACACACAAGTTCCATCTGACTGATCTCACCAAGTTTCAACTCCTTGAGCAACTGTTTGATCCAAATTAGCTCACATGTCACCATAGCCATTGCTCGATATTCTACTTCTGCACTAGACCGAGCAACCATATTCTGTTTCTTGCTCTTCCAAGACACAAAATTACGTCCTACTAAGACACAATATCCAGACGTAGAACATCTATCGGAAATTGATCCTGCCCAATCAGCATCTAAGTATCCAATGATCTGCTCATGGCCTAGATTCTCAAACAATAAACCTTTGCCTGGAGCTAATTTTATATACCGAAGAATGCGGACAACTGCATCCCAATGACTATCACAGGGAGGATCCATAAACTGACTCACAACACTCACAAGAAAGAAAATGTCAGGTCTAGTTACTGTGAGGTAATTTAATTTACCAACCAGTCGCCTATATCTTGTAGGATCGCTAAGAGGCTCCCCATGTTCTGGCAGAAGTTTATAATTCAGATCGATCGGAGTGTCAACAGGTCTACAACCTGTCATTCCTGTCTCCTCAAGAATGTATAAGGCATACTTTCGTTGTGAGATCATAATACCTGAGCTAGACTGAGCGACCTCAATACCCAAAAAATACTTTAATCTGCCCAGATCCTTAGTCTGAAATTGCTGAAAGAGATGTTGCTTCAACTTAGTAATACTATCCTGATCATTGCTGGTAATAACAATATCGTCAGCATAAACAACCAGATAAATACAGAGATTTGAAGCAGAATGCCGATAAAACACAGTGATCAGCTTCACTATGGGTCATGCCAAACTCCTGTATAACTGTGCATGAACTTGCCAAACCAGGCTCGAGGAGACTGCTTTAGACCATAAAATGACCGGTACAAGCGACATACAAGGCCACTAGACTCCCCCTGAGCAACAAAACCAGGTGGTTGCTCCATATAAACTTCATCCTTAAGGTCACCGTGAAGAAAAACATTCTTAATGTCCAACTGACAGAGAGGTCAATGGCGAACAACAACCATGAATAGAAAAAGGCGAACTGATGCTATTTTAGCCACGTGCGAGAAAGTGTCACGGTAATCGAGCTTAAATCTCTGAATATATCCTTTGGTAACAAGACGGGCCTTAAGTCTATCAACCTGACTATCCGGACCAACTTTGACTGCATAAACCCAACGACACCCAATAGTAGATTTACCTGAAGGAAGAGGAACAAGCTCCCAAGTACCACTCGTATGTAAATCAGACATCTTGTCAATCATAAATCATAGCCTGTCGCCATCCTGGATGAGACATTGCTTCACCTGTAGACTTAGGGATGGAAACAGAGGACAAAGAAGATACAAAAACATAATGGGGTGATGACAGATGATGATAACTTAAACCGACATAATGGGGATTAGGATTAAGTGTGGTCCTTATACCTTTCCGAAGTGCAATCGGTTAACTAGGATGAGACAAGTCCGCAGTAGGAGCAGGGTCAAGTGCAGGACGTGAATCAGCTGGAACTGATACTAGGCGCGGACGACGATGATAAGTCAGGAGTGGTGTTCTTGTGGCTGGGGATCTAGGAGGAGCAACACTAGACTCCTTAACGGTTGGCATGGGTAAGACCTTTGTGGGCATAAGAGGAGCTATAGTAAACTCATCAAAAGTTGGTATAGGTAAGACCTCAGATATATCAAGGTGGTCAGAAGAGGTAAAGTAAGGTCTAGACTCAAAAAATGTGACATCAGCTAACATAAAGTGCCTACGAAGATCAGGTGAGTAACAACGATATCCTTTCTGAACACGAGAATAACCAAGGAAGACACACTTGAGAGCACGGGGAGCTAACTTATTTTTCCAGGGACTAAGTTATGAACGAAACATGTGCTCCCGAAAACACGAGGGGGAAAAGAGTACAAGGGTGATTGGGGAAACAATACTGAATGCGGAATCTGATTCTCGATGGGAGATGAAGGCATCCGATTAATCAAATAACAAGCTGTGAGAACTGAATCGCCCCAAAAACGCTACGAAACATAAGACTCAATGAGAAGTGTGCGAGCAGTCTCAATGAGATGCCTATTCTTTTTCTCAGCTGCCCCATTTTGTTAAGATGTGTACGCACAAGATGTTTAGATGTTTGATGAATGATTCCATGAGAGTTCATAAACTGTTGAAATGGGGAAGACAAATACTCTAGGGCATTATCACTACGAAATATGCCGATAGAAACCCCAAATTGATTTTGAATTTTTGCGTGGAAGGTCTGGAAAATAGAAAACAACTCAGATCGATTTTTCATCAAAAATATCCAAGTGCACCTGGAATAATCATCAATGAAACTGACAAAGTAGCGGAATCCCAAGGTAGAACTGACCTGACTAGACCCCAAACATCTGAATGGACTAAAGTGAAAGGTGACTCCCCTCGATTATCGGGACGCCGAGGGAAATGGAAGCGAGTATGCTTACTGAGCTGACATAACTCACACTCTAGAGTGGACAAGTGAGATAAATCAGGTATCATTTTATGAAGTTTTGACAAACTGGGATGTCCCAACCGTTTATGTAATAAATCTGGTGAATCAGTAATAGGACAAGTTGTTGAAGGAAGACAAGATGTGAGTTCATGTGATTTAGCAAGGATAAGGTAATAAAGTCCATTTGATTCACGCCCGGTATCAATGATCCACCTGGTACTGCGTTCCTGTATAAAAACAAGGTCATCAAGAAATAAAACAGCGCATTTAAGTGATTTGGCTAAGCGACTAATGACTATGAGATTCAAAGGACTACCGGGAACATAAAGAACTGAATCTAAAGGTAAGGAAGGAAGGAAGTGGACTTGCTTGACCTATTGCTATTGCCATGGTTTGAGACCCATTGGCCATTATTACTGTTGGAAGAGATTGAGAATATGAAATACTAGTAAAAAGAATGTTATCAGAAATATGATCAGATGCACCTGAATCAATGACCCAAGAGTGGGAAGAAGAAGAAGATTGAGAGACACAAGTCACGCTATTACCTCTTTGAGCTATAGAAACTATCTCAGAAGATATTTGCTTATATGCTTTATACTGAAGGAACTCGATATAATCTGATAAAGAAACCATAGGAACATTTGAAGTATATGATCCAACAGTATTTGAGCCAAAAGCATCAGATCTGGGTGACATTATAATGGACTTAAGAGAGATCAAAGCCTTATATGTCGAGCTTCAGAGTGCTGAAAATTTTGTGCTGAAGATCTTCAGTTGACACACGCAATTGCTCTGACTTACCAGATCTATGCCGGAAGCAAATTGAAGTCAACAAAATGGTGGAAATTAAATGAGGTCGGAATCAACAGGTGACCTTAGTATGTGAACAAGATGGCCGAAAAAGTGACAAGAATAGTGACGGACCAAGACCACTGCTCTCGCCGGAAAACACTTTTCCGGTAACTGAAAATCCACAAAATCTCGAAGGGTGGAGTCGGAAAAAGCAGGCGAAGAAAAAATCAGACTTGAAAGATGCCGGAAAACGACCTCACGTGCCGGCGCGTGAAGTAACACTCTCGCCGGAACTCTAACTGTCAGAGGTGCATGACGGCGTGTGTGAAGTTTTCTGCTGGAGATCTTCACTGGGGTTTGGTCGCCGATGATAGGAGAACGGCGGTGTAAAACGTAAACAACTTCTTGAGTCACCGGAAAATTGCACGGTGACGACTGATTTCCTCCCGGATGTTGTTGGAATGACGCGCAACGATAATTATCTCACAAATGCTCTAATACAATGTGAGAAAGCACGAGAGAGTATTATTGATTGTTATTCTAGGTTACTATGAGCCCTATTTATAATTTATATGTATACAAAACACATAACCTACTCCTATTACATACAAGACTAGGACTAATTACATATATTCACACAACTATTCTAACAGTCTCGAAATCCTAATCTTCTTCTTCATCCGGCTTATTTTGGGTAGACGTGGCTATGTTACCTTAATACACTAGTTATGTTGTTGTTATTGTTGTTCTACCAGCAGCCTCTGGTGTAGTTTCCTTTCTTCCCGCAATTGTAGCATTTATCCCTTCGTCGATTGTTGAAACCATGGTTTGCCTGCTTGTTGGATTGATGTCTTCTTTGATCTTGCTTCTTCTGATCTCCCTCTGGTTATGAGCTTCTCTCCTCATCCTTTTTCTCGGTAGCCTTGCTCGTTACCGTTTCTGCCGTCTTGAGTTTTGTAGTTTCTCCTTTTGCCGAAGAGAGCCTTCTCTTCATCTTTTATAGAAAGGCCTGTTAGTGGATTCTCCAAGTCTTATTCATTTGCCAACAGATTTTCCGACTTGGATAAAGTTGGTTCTGTGGCCCACCCAAGTGTGGTTGTAACTATGCCTTTATACTTTGACCTCAGACCACGGACATGATTCTCCTCATCCTTGTCTCTATGATAGCATTATCGGGATCTAATATTGATATTTCATTACATAAAGATTTAACCTTTGAGAAGTATTGACTGATCGTCATGTTTCACTGTGAAATCAACAAAAGCTCAATTTTAATCCTTTAATCGTGCATCATTCTTCTTTGTAAAAATCGTCGCCAGTGTGTTCCAGCTTCTTTGGGTGTCATGGCATTCTTAATCCGCTGCAAGAACTCGTCGTCCTACCAAAGGATGCTTTTTTTACAGTCTTTCATATGCTTTTTCTCTAGATCAATGAATATTTTGTCTAGATCCTTCTTCCTCTATTTATAAATTTTCTTCATTTTTAGCAAGAATATAGCATCAGATCTAGCAAGCATAAATCCAAATTGGTTTCTCTGTAAATCTAAGCACTGTCATTATTTACCATGAATTCTGTGTATAGCTCATAATTTTGATGCGATGAAGTTTTATAGGTTCCTTTTTTTCTTGCCGTCTTTGTTTCCCTATGTCATTGCAAAACCATGCGTCACACGAAGTTTCTGTTTAAGTTCATGCATATACCTGCTATATCTAATATAAATGTGCTTAAAATAGTTTTTGGACATGGTCAAAGATTGTGGGGCAGTCTAAGAGTGTCCGATTGTGTCATCTATCATATATCGTATGCTTCTGAGGCCCCTCTAGGATATGATCCTTCTGTAGTTGGCATTTTTGTTAGATTGCCAGTCTTGTTGGCTGTTGCTCAAATAAATGTTTTTGACCTTTTTGTAGAACAGGAAGGCCGTCCATACAAGAGTCTTGGGCTAACAATGTTGTTTGGCATCAAGGTTGGCTATTCTCATTGTGCAAATTACTTTTAGCTCTTCTTTTGTATGGTGCTGGTGGGCCTTCTAAGCATTTTCTCCTGCTGACAGGAAACCTACTTTCAACTGATTCATGGAAGGATGCACTCAAGGGAGTAACATCTGTTGTATGTACTGCCTCTATCCCTGATTTTTACAATAATACTATCTGGAATCATTACTGGAGTTAAAGCACACTGAAGCAGAAATGTTGTTACCTATCTTTTATTGGTTCTATCTCTTTCTTTTTGGGTGATAGAGGAAGTAATTTGAAAGTTTCGGTGGTTTCTGGCAAGATTTTCCTCCATATTTAGTATAACCCCCCTAAGAAAGTTGTTGGCTGCCATGGCCCATATTTAAGGCTTTTTCCTTCCCTTTAAAAAAAAATGGCAGCAACTTCCAATTTTTCACATGCTGCGTTGTTAATTGTTTATGGAGAAGATGCTAATCTGTGGTAATTTCTGAAGAACATTTTTTGGTGAAATATGCTAATATGTTTGTTTTTAAACTGGAAAATTTATAGAGGTTATGCTAAAAACCATAAGACTCCGGCCAAATCTACTGAGAACAAATGGGATCCTTCTAAACCAAAGTAGGTCGTTTAATTTAGGTCAGAATTAGCTTCCTCTGTGTTAACATGTGATATGAGCAAGGATAGTGGCTCCAGTTCTCTAATTTTCAACTTCTTGTAACTTCCATATTATCCATCATCATTTGACTTCAAAGGCATCCTCATTATGTTTAATCACTCTCCACTTATATCCTTAGATGCTTCGCATTTTGTTGACTTGAAGCTGACCCTCCCGAGCTCATATCAGCATGCATCTTGATCTGTGGTACAGCTAATGTGATAGAGAGGATCTTATACCTTATTCAAAAAACATTCTTGGATTCTGTGTTTTCTGCAAAGTGAATTCGGTTTTGATCTGCATAATTGCATTAGTGTCTTTTCTCCTCCTCTTATAAACTAGCTTGGTTTATACAGAACTTCTTAGTGAAGATTAAAAGAGGGGTTTCAGCATAGGTACTCATTAAGCTGATATATTTCGGTTGGCTGTTGCTGGTGTTCTCTTCTAACTGAAACTTCTCCTTAGATATGTGCATGTTAATCGTTGGAACAGTCAATTTTACCACGTTATGAAGGAACTATCTGGTTTATCATCATTTAATAGGGTGTAAGGAAGTTAGATACAGTATGCAAGTAGTCAATCAGTCAGTTTGGTAGTACCAGAGAGAGAGAGAGTTTGTCTCTTATGCTGGTTATTTGGCAGTCTGATATAAATAATTGGATGCATATGAATGGTGTGAGTCTAGTCCTCAGCTCCACTAACTTATTACCCTCAAAACTGGAATTTTCGCTATGTGAGCAAAGGAAAGTAAGTTGGATCTCTAGTGGTTTGACAATGAATGGGCATTAATTCATAGAGCTTCACTATATTCAGAAACAGTTAAATTTACCTGTACTGGTGGATAGTTTCTTTTCATCCGCAGATTCAATTTAATAGACTTATTGATAAACTATGTTTACCCTTTTCTTGTCTTCTGAGATATTTGTCTACACTTTTTTAGTTAAAGTTACTGTTTCCGATTCAGTCTGCTTCTCATGAAGTTTTGTTGCTATCCTAACTAGTTTGATTCTCATGAACTTCACTTTCTGAACAGCCACTATGTTCACAGCTGATTCTTTTAGTATTTGCTAGTCTAAGGATACGCACGTTGCGTGTGTATTTTTATCTCAATGAGTACAATTATTTTTAAAATTATATTAAATTTCTGATTGAATCATGAAATATATGTCAAAGAAAAAATTTTAAGTTCCTAAATTGATGATTCTTGATTCTATTTTGCTAACTCAATAAAAGAAGAAACTTTGTCCCACGGGAGTTCTCAGTCATCTCAGCCAATATATTTAACATAAAATTTATTTAAGATTTATAATTTTATTGCTTTAATTTTACAAGTTATGCATCCTTTTTAGTTTTAACAAGATCATATAACTCTGAAGATTTAGAATTATTATATTTTTATTTTCAAAAAGCTATATATTCTTATGTTAATTCTAAAAAGACATAAACATGACGTATCTAACTGACATAAGATGTTAATACTATGTAGAAGGAGTAAAAATATGAAATTCATGTAAAAATCAGATTTAGAGTTTATTTTTTCAATCAATTCTCACGGATTTATTGTGTTAGTTTTCTTGTGTTTGTATAATCAGTTTTTATATTTTAATTGGGACGTTTTTAAAGTTAGTGTAATTTAATTCAAAAAGAATATTATAATTGTTATTAAAAATATTTTCATGAGTAAATTGTTACCAAAATAATTTTCTTGTATATTTTTCTAATTTTTTGTAATCAATTTTTTTGTTTTGTCATGTTTATAAGCGTGCTCATAATTAAACGGCCAAATTAAAAAACCCAAAAACGGCATTCCTAATTTCTTCATAGCAATGTATGTGCACGTAGTATAGAACATACTACTTCATTTAAAATTGGTTTCAGCCTCATTCAACTCTCTAAAAAATATTTAAGAAAAGTTGGGTAAGACTACCAATATTTAATTAGAATTAAAAGCTAAACTAATAATAACATGGACCATCGTGTGAACAATCATGGTTATATTTTTTTTATCTATATAAAGTAACTTTTTAATTGATTTTAGTGTCCTAAATATTCGGATTATATACATAGTTTAAATAGGGAAAAATTTAATAAGTCAAATTTTAGTTGGTTTTAAAATCCTAAATATTAGGAAAATAACTTAAATTACAATTCTATCCAATGTGAAATCTATTTTTAGAGGGTAAAAAAGGCGAACGACATTTCGCTAAGGGCCTTCGTGCTTTTAATATAGTATAGATATGAGGAGTTAAGAGCACTGGTTTTTTTCTCTCTTATGCGATGGCAAAATATTTTTGCAGATTTCATGCGTTGGCGGGTTTGGCTCTAACTCGTACATGTATAAAATCAACGGGACAGCTAACATAAATGCCATCAGAGCTGCTTCAGAAGAAGGTATTAGCTAGCTATAGAAGTCTACTTAAGCTGTTAAGCACCTTTCTGTGTTGGTATGACATTTAGCTTTATTATTATTTTTTTTAAACCATGAAAATTGTGATCTTTCAATGCAATAAAAGGAGTTTAGCTATGAAGTGGAGATAACTTTACCTGAATGTTAGAATATGTAATGTTGTGAAGTCTTTTATTAATTGCTACAGATGGAATCCTTCCTCTTTCGACCAACTAAAGCACCATGTACAGTGTTTAAGATAATTTTTTATTTCTCTATGGCCTTAAATTTAAAGTCTTAGAGATGGAGATGCCTGTTGGGAATTCACAATTGTCATAAAACCACCTTTTATTGTTTCTACAGTTGATTGCTTTGTTTCGACCTGGATTTTTTAATATATATTGGTGCCTCTGGGAGGTAAAAGTTGGTTAATTGCCTGTAAGGACCTGAATCTGATTTTGGTAGCATGTGTAAATGATGTTAAACAGTTGGAAAGGGTATTTGTTATCTTTTAGGAGCATATTACTCTAAGCAAGCTTGTCTCCCAAAGGGAGTTGTGAGTTTGATTGATATTCTATGTACAACATTCTTTTTAATAGGTAGAGCTGAGGTATTGTGGGTGGGTTTGGTTGTGTGTGGGGNATGTAATCTAGCGTCCTAAACATTTCCTTATTAGGAAATAGTTTTCGGGATATTCAAATGAGAACCTAATCCTCTTTGGCGTGGTAATTAATAACTACTACCTCCGTTTCAGCACCACCCAATTACATTGGTGATCAATTTAGTTTTATAGGCATATTTGATCGGAAACAAAGGGGGTTAGATGAAAAATTGGTGCAGCCATCAAATCAATGATTAACAATTTGTAAAAGTATTGCATGTCCAAGAGCATGATCATTAATTTCATGAGTTTATCTTCTGGTTAGTGTCCATAAGAGTAGATAACAGTGACCGAACTTACCTTCTGGTGGTCCCTTTAATATGGACATTCCTTTCTATCTTTCAGCTTTTGAGCCGTAAATATGCCTCTCTCCTTTCTGCCAAAGGGAACTCAATTTCTCACTGGTTCCATTTCTTTCGAAGTTTGACTGTAGAGAAGTGGATAGTCCCATAATTATTTTGGCTCCCATGTACCATGATTGTATTCCAATGCTCAAGACATGATGTTGGAATTGATACTCTCCATAGTCTTCAATGAATCTTCTCCTTTTGGCCCGTTTCTTTGCATTCTCACATAGGAAATGCGCTTTTGCCTTTTTTGTTGAAAGGTTAAGCTTCAGTCAATATTGAGACACACATTATTTGATTGCGGTGGACTAAATTTGAGTGGCTGTGATTGCTAGAAATCGTAAGAATTTGCCTCTTTTGTTGATAGTTTTAAGTTTTCAGTCAATCTTGACACATTTATTTGATTATGGTAGACTAAGTATCAATGGTTTGTGACCATTAGAAAGCCTAGCAATCTGTTGAGTCCTAATTGATGCATCTTGCACAGGGAAAAGTTGCAAGAGTGACTGCAATCTGTTTCTACTCCCTGTACTACCCTTTTTGCAATAGACATACTGCAAAAATATATAGCTTCTTCATCCCAATTTATATGACACTCTTCCCATCCCCGGGAGGTATGAGAACGTTCGATACTATTCCACTAATAATATTATTTTATACAACTTTGATAGCCGTTAAGAATTCAAATCATTTCACTATTTTTAAAGTCAAACTAGTTTTTTTAATGATTACCTTTTTTTTTTTTTACATATATCTAATTTTATATATAGGTCTAATTAACATCATAAGCTTTGGGTTCAGTCGAACACCATCATAATAGAAATGGGACAGGAGGAGTACGACTTAGTTTGGAACTCTTATATTGCTCGCTCCGTCTTCAAATATGAGTGGTCGTTAGACATTGTCCTAACAAGAAGGACAAGAGTTTATGAAAACATAATTGTTGGTTGTCTGTTTGGTCAGAGTATATTCCTAGTATATTTAAGGTAGATTTAGTTCTTGCTTTGCGTGGGACCGGGTGTGCTACATACATGATAAGTAGTTGATGATTTCTCGAGCGAGATTAGAAACTTTACTTCATGGATATATACTGTTTGAGCTTAAGTCATCCGCTTCCTTGTACTCTTCCTCCTATCCATAACCTTCTTTTCCCCATACCCTTATTTTAGGCCCGTGTTCTCTTTTAGAGGGTTATAATAAAATAAATACCTATGCCTATGAACAGTAAGATTTTTTCATCTCCAGTGTGCCAACAACAATAACACTAACTACGCCTCAGTCCCAAACAAGTTTTGGTCGGCTAGCTAATATCTTACAAAATAAAAATAGTAATAAAAATAAAAAGTACTAGAAGTTCCTTTTTCTGCTGATGTTTAAATCTCTAAAAGGTTAAACAACTCTTAGAAAAGCATAGTACGTAAAGTAGAAGTGCTAACATGGTTAAAACATATTCTCAATATATCTAACACTCTTTAACCTATATGCGCATTTTATCGGTTTGCACCGGAAATCAGATCTTCAGTCTGCATGATGAATGTCTTGTTTAGGCATCAATTTTGGATAAATAACTAAAAGCTGTTATTGCTAAAAGAGGACCACGCTGTTGTATTGATAGACCGAATGTGTTGTCCATGCTGGAGTGCTCCATGTAATGTTGTTATAATATGCTTTATCTCTATGTGCAGGAGTTAAAAGATTTGTTTACATCTCCGCTGCAGACTTTGGTGTTGCAAATTACGTGTTACAAGGTTATTATGAGGGGAAGGTATTAGCTCAATACTTTTGATTGATGTAGACAAATGACTAATTAAGAATATGCAAAAGATGTCAACTTCTACTTAGAGAGTAGTAAAAGACATTGTGTGGTATGTTGTTCTTGTTGATTCAAGCTTTTTATGTTTACGGCGGCCAAAGAAATTTCTGCTTGGCATGAGCCAAGAGTTACTGAGAGTCCTGAATATCAACTCAATTAACTTGTTTTCTTTTGAAAAGCTTCTAGGTTTTAGTGTAATCTGGCATTCTTCAATTGTTAGACCTCTTTTCAAATTAGATGACATGGTTGTAGGAGAGATTAAGATAAATTTCCTTTCTATAACATAGTATATTTTATTATTTTCTAGTCAAAAGCTTTTTAACCATGTCAGAACTAATATTTCTTGGTGGCTGTGAGCCCGCGATATTCAGTTGCAATGGGAGGGTTGAGTACATAATGGAGTTTCATCTAGGAAGTGTTATGTGGACGCGTGTTAAGTTGCACGGGTGTGGATCTAGAGGTCGGATCCTTCGAGATGTAATCGGGGATACGGATCCTAGTACGGATATGGGGATCCGGCTAAAAGTAATTCAAAAAAATAAAAATATAAAAATATCGGTAAATTATGAGAAATTTTATGAAATACTTACGTACTGTGGATTTCTTTTTTATTTTCAAGTTGTAGATAAGTTAAAGATTGATTTCCTAGATAAAGTATGCTATTTTCTTCAAATTTACCTTAGTTTTGGTTCTGATTTCGGGAATCAAATTGTATCTCGTCTCGAAATTTTCCGTCCATCGTGTCAAAGTACCCCAAATTGTTTGAACATATTCGGTACGGATCCTATACCCACACACATACTAGTGTTGTGTCGACACGGGTGCGGCACCTAAACTGCCGTGGTGGAGCAACTTAGGACGCGGGTATGAGTGTCTCATATGCAAGTAATGATAGGTATATTCGATTTTATCAAGTTTTATGTATGATAAAAGTGAGCACATAAAGTGTTCATTATCCTTGCCTTAGCCTTCAACCAGGTTTCTAAGAATTTTCCTGATAAATAGCGTCTCTGAGGTTTACTTAGAAATCAAGTGACATCTAATAGTCGTTGGATGACAGAAACAAGTGTTTTGATTTCTAACAATATATCCTCTAAGGAAGTGGTTGGGCTTAGATGGGTTCAAGCGTTTCTGTGTTCAGGTGTTGATATGATGTACTTTTGATGATGGAGTTATCGTTACATTTAGAGAGCTAGTCATTTACTACCAATTATGTAGCAGAACCAGGGACCACTGTCGTGAAAAGAAGAGAAAAAGGTTTCTGGCATGGAAGTATGGAACTATGCCTACTCATTGAATATCCTTTCATGGCTGCATATAGAATTTGTATTGCTTGATTGATGCTAGCATTGAAATGTTTGATCTAATAAGCTCAGGATAGAAGATGCATCTTTTGTACGAAAGCGTTCAGTCATCAAATGTCTTGCTAGATCCGAAGTCTGAACAGTATATAAGATTACGTAGTTGGGATGGAAGTTGTATGGTCAAGATCCTACAGTTGCAGTAAGCAGTAATCACTACACCCTAAACTATGTTGTTTGTTGCTGTCTATTGCTTAAAAGAATGATGAACGTTTATCTCGATTATCACTGAACTGATTGCATGGGTTACGTCAATTGTGGCTGCGTGCTTGAGGTTTGCTCGATTCTTTTAATAAAGGATTTCTATACTTTGCAACAATACAAGAACTCGAGGACAAATTCCTTCCAGACATGAAGGGCATAGCAACTTCTGCCTAGCCCATGCTGTGAGAAGTTAGAAGAATATTTTGCTTAACCGATCAATCATTGTATTTTAAGTTGTAACGAATAGAAGAGAAATAACTTCTTTTGACTTGATTAATGAGCAATGTAAAGGAGGGACTCTTCATATGTCTCTATGCAAATAAGGTAGGTGAATATTTTATAATTAGATACAGAATATTCTGAAGTATTCTATAAAATATTACAGTATATATAATATTTGTGTTCAATGAACACGTATTATTCTTTCTTGATAAGCCAACGAAGATGTGTTATTCTGGACACATTTTCTTAATATTCAACGTACACCCTCAAATGAAGTGGAAAAATCATTTTGAATTAGATTACATTGAAAAATGTCGCTGGGGTAAGAAATGTTGTCAAAATAATGGTCGGAAAGATGCATGTCACTACTCACTACTAGAATAGCATCGGAAGGAGAGAGTTGTTCTGCTGATCATTAGGAGGAATGAGCGGTGCCGTTTGCTGAAAGAAAAGAGTTACAGCGCTAATCGCCCGATAGAGAAGGGCGTCTGTTGTTGGGAGGGAAGTGGAGAGACGTGGCGGCTGGATAGAGGACGGGCATTGTCTCTGAAGAGAAAAGAAGAGTGGTGACGATTGCTAGAGAGAGGAAAGATGAGGAACGTTGTTCATTGGCAATAGGAGAGGCATCGGTCATCAAAGATAGAAGTGTGCCGGTCACTAAAAATAAGCGGTGCTGACCACAAAAGGCGACAAAAGCAAGAACATCTGCAGAAGTTACTTGAGAATCTACCTAGATCTACCGCAATTATAAGCAGAAGTTACTTGAGAATCTACCTAGATCGTGGAGATTCTGCTACCATGTGCAAATAAAAGAGAACCTTTTATTGACTTGATTATTGGCATCATAATTGCGGTTCCTTTGGTAGGAATATTAGGCTACATATAATGTGATAAGTAATTATTTCTCATACTAGTAAAGTGACCAAATGTTCTATAATAAATACAGATACATCTTAAGGTATCTTATATAATATTTGTACTCCCTCCATTCCATTTTAGTTGGTCCCAAGAAGAATGTCATATTTCTTTATTTACCCTAGGGGTTAGCTCAGTTGGTAAAGGTTGAGGGACTTGTGTCCTAGGTCAAAGGTTCGAGGCCCATGCTAAGCGAACTAACAGAGTATTGGAGAAGGGTAGAGGGGCAATCCATCATCCCCGAGTTTCGATGGTTGTGTTGGCCCAAAGGGTCGCGGATTTCTCGGTCATAAAAGAAAATGTCATACTTCCTTATTTAGAAACAATTTAACTTTAAACCTCCTTATTTATCCGTAATGAGATGATATATAGCCACATAAATGCCTAGGGCTTGTGTTAGACCACAAGCATACAGTGGTGGAGCTTACTGTTTAAGTAGGTCAATGAGGTGATAAAATTTGTAGAACTTCTGAAAGTGACCTTTTTGTTCTTCTGTCTCATGTCTGTATTATGTTATGCAGCGAGCTGCTGAAACTGAGCTTCTAACAAGATATCCCTATGGAGGTAAGCTATTTTGGTTTTCATTGGGTACCTAACCACTTTCTGGTGCACACATGTCAATTTAAATGTGCGACTTACATCAAAGTAATAGGCATGCAAAATGGCTCTTTGTTTCATGTTAGGGCGATGCAATTATTTTTTGCAAAAGTTTGATAATTTATCTGCAGGTAATTGTCAATAGATCATAAAAATTGGCAATTTAATGTACCTGTCCCGATCTTCACTTGCTTTGGCCAACCCATTCTGACAGGGAATGAACTGCAGGGGCAATGTAACACACTATTAGAGCTTGTTTAGGGGTTTCCCTTTCCATTCATTTAGTTCATTTCATGGTATGTCTTCATGAGCACATTCACCACCCCATTAGTGGTGGCTTGTGCAACATGCATCGGTCCTATTGAGGAAGGTTCAGAGGAGTGATGTGAGGAGTGTTTAGATGGATGTAAGACAATCTGCTGAATTGGTGACCCGTTAACAAGTGGCGCAAAATTGCTTGTTTAAATTTGAGGATTATCCACAATTAGTGCTTAGTGTGACCTGACTCTGCAAACACGGGAGAAAACGCACATGGGTAATAGACTATAGAGGAGCACTCCTTGTTATAGATAGAAACATTATGGAATGTTGGACTTGATGCGTTTCACCTTTATTGTATTGCACAAGGTTGTAAATTTTCTCTGCTTGTTATTGTATCTCTGTTTTGATGATTTAAGATTCAAGTGTGAAGATTTATTCACACCCATCTGTCGTTATCTTGTTTTTTTTTTCAGGAATAATTCTGAGGCCTGGATTTATCTACGGAACCCGTCGTGTCGGGAGCATGAAATTGCCCCTTGGTGTAGTTGGTTCTCCTCTAGAGATGGTGTGTACCCTTTGCTTATTCTTTACTTCTTTTCATGTACATCTACTGCACATACAGCTTCTTCCTCCTGGAAGATGAACAAAAGTTGGACTATCCACCTTCCGTTACATTTTTTCTTTTATAATGTACATCGAAGAGATATTACTTTTTTGTTTCGTCTAGCAGTCGTTCCTTAATGAAACTCCTTAGGTTATTAAATTGAACATGTGCTGTATTATCCGAAGATCCAAAGCCCCTCAAACCCTGTTCTCCCATCTGTACAAAGTTAATAATTGAAGTAATAAAACAATAATTAGCTTGGAAAGGGAACAAGAGTCTTTTTCCTTGCCTCGTGTCAGATCCATACAATGAATGGTCGTGCTATATGACTCTTTCATCCATGCATTTTTTGCAATTTCTGTGCATTGTGATAGTTTCTCTTAGTATGTTCATATATTCTTGGTTAAAGTTTCTCTTGGTTACATTTTCAGATTCTGCAACGTGCAAAACCATTGAGTCAAATACCCCTTGTTGGGCCACTGTTTACTCCTCCTGTGAACGTCACTGCAGTAGCTAAAGTTGCCGTCAGAGCGGCAACAGATCCTGTATTCCCTCCTGGTGTGATTGATGTTTATGGAATCTTACGCTACAGCCAGCAGAGATCCGTATAAGGTGAAATGATTTCACCTGAAAATAACGATACCTACGGGGAAATTCCTTTTTAATCCTCATAGACCCAATAAACTCCACTTCTCAAACTTATCATGATGGTAAAGTGTACTTTTTGCCAGATAGATATGGTGCCATTCAATAAATGATGCTTTTGGAGTTGACATTATCATCCGCTTGTAGTTAAATAGCATGCATATGGCAGATACGAGATGCTTATCCTCTTCCCCCCTTGAGTGTGGCTGTTGTTCAGTTGTTTCCCCAAAAGAGTCAGAAAATGGATGCAATAAAGTATAAGGATCAGTTTCTTCTTCTTTTTTTTTTTCCCCTTCTTGTTTTAGTTTCAGGCAGAGCAGCTTATTTTGGCATTTAGTACGATGAAAGAAAAAGCAGAGCAGCTTGGTTCAGTTCATCAATTTGTTCTGGTGGAGAAGGCTAGTTGAATATGAATAAATGACAATTCACTATCTGATGATTAAGCAGATACACAGATAGAAGGGCAGCAAATTGCAGTTCTGCTTTTATCGAAATGTTGTAGTTTTCCAGTAACTTGGTTTGTATTGGTTGATGAATATATCTTATTTGTCCTATTTTTCTTCCGAGTTCATTTTCATCAATGGCGTGCATTTTGTTTATGTTGATTTGCAGGTGATTAGAGACTCCCAGAGCAATTCATGAGTTTATTATCGTTTCCCTTCTTTTGAACTTTGAAGTGAGCGTGCTTGATTATTGTTTAAGTGTCTCAGTTTTTCCACGTCTTCTGCTGGAGTTCTGAAGCTGCTTCAGGAAACAGTGAAATAAAAGATAAAAATTATTTAATGTGTGACCATCTGTCGAAAGGTTAGAGAAAGTATAATTTTATTTACTTAATTGTATTCTCAATGAAAAGACAGAATATATGTCTGAATTCTGCTAGTTGCACCTTCTTTTACCGCTCGATATGATCATGTCAAGGTTCTGTTATTTCTATACCCGTCTTTAAACTTGTCGTACTCTCATATTGAATACGTAGAGAAATTTAAAGTCAGTCCTTCAAATATAATGGCAAAATTATATTCAAATATAATGGCAAGTCGTCCTTCAAAATGTTCAATGAAACTCTAGATGGAAATTTAACTATTCATAGTCATGCCAGCAAGCATGTTAATAATTGAAAGTATTGATATACAAACTAGAAAGAATTGAAAGAAAAATCCTTGCGATCCGTTGCTTGCGCTTGTTACAGCCAACTTTTCTCTCTAAAATATTGTCCAACTCCTTAAAAACTAAGTTTAAGAGGTATTTGTATGCTAAAATAAAGTTAGGGCAGAAATGACCAAGCCTCAAGCTGACTGTGAGTCAAAACACCCCGGAAAAAGAATTATTAAGGTACATGTATCTAAATTTTTCACTTTATAAAGTTAAGCTCTTTAACTTTACATGCGTATAATAATTTTTTTGAGCTAAGATTTACATTTCTTATATTTTGTCTTCTCCTTATATTTTTTTAGCTTAAATATTCAGATTGTTATGATTTCTAAGTGCGATTCTTTTCTTATAAATGTTCAAAATGTTTTACTATTCATGTACAAAACAATATAATATTTTCAATTTTTGTACTAATTATATGGGTGTATCACGCACGTTCAGGGACTAGTAAAACTGAAATTAGAATGAACTTTTAATCTCTAGCTCAAGTTATTATGATTTCTTTTAATGAATATATTGAGACGAAATTTGAATTTATTCAATTTTTCCAAATACGTTGCGTACTTTGAATTAGTGTTATATAAGGACTATAAACTAGCTATATATATATATATATATATATATAT